CAACGCAAAAGACTCATATAGAGTGACAAAATTTCTAGAAAGCATTACTGTAATCACTCTTGAAATTATTTGGGCTATGTTCAAGGCACTTCACTCTTGCTTTTATTTGTGTTGTGTTTAAATATGACAATTTCGTAATGGATTCTGTACCGCCAGTTTATCTTACCCTGTTCGTCTCGTGTGCAAGCAAAACACATCGGACTGTGAAAATGTACTGTAAATTGTTTTTTGCAGGTGATATTAGGTGAAGTACATTTTAGTAGCAAGTTTTTATGGTTGCTGGGTTGGTTAAGTTAGTGTGGTGACTGGGCTGGACGGCCTAGTTAGATTCCCGGAGGAATTGGGGATTTGTTTCGTCGCCAGGTCATCCAGACCTACGCTAGAACACTATCAACCCCATTTTAATATTCGTATGTCGAATCAGTGCCAGGGTTTAAAGCGGCCGTGGCGTTAAGTTGACTACTGATATCCATATAGTCTTAATTTTCTGAATATGTGATTCTGCTTCTGTTCACAAAGATAACTTGACTTTTACGTGTCAGTAAAACTGCACAAGTCGTACCAAGATCGGGACGTGTAACTTGAAAAATGTCGATAAAACCAAGAGGTATCAAACTACAACTACGACTTGCCCAGTTTCAGTACGATAGATAAATAATTTAGTGCCAGTGATGTTTTATCTGCAACGAATGTTAAATACTCTTTAAGATTAATTTATATATTTTCATTCTTTAAGAATGAGAAGACTATGACGCTCATGGAATGTACCGTCATTTTAAAACGTTTTCTGTGGACCAAAATTGTCAGTATTCTACAGCGTTTCATAGGCTGTATCTGTTTTCATCTTCAGGAAAGAAACAGACTTGTCATGCGCTTTCCTCAATTCTCCGTAGGTCAAGTTCATCTACTAATTTAATGAAAGAGGGTAATGTTTAGAATCTGTTGGTCGCTTAGTTTATCGAAAAGTTTCCTGTTTTTTATAGATCCAGAAATTTTATTGTCGTGTGCAAAGAACTAACCCTGAAACTGTGTTCAGAGTCAATTGAATCAGTTGTATTAAATTTTGTATTCAGCAAGCCATATTAGGAAAATTTCTCTCAGATTTACGTAAAATGTGTATATTTCTTGAAATTTCTTAGTGTAGTGAAACAGGTGCAAGTAGAAATTTATAAAATATTCGTTGTGATGAAGATCGTGAAGTCAACGCATATCTTTCGGACAACCATCAACTCTTTGAAAATACAGTAATAAATTATACATACCATTACTTAACATTTGTAACACTGTGTTTGGCCGCAAAGTATATATGTAGGTTTTTATAGCGTTGAAAATGAGTAGCGATTATTTCCCTAAACAGTGTTAACAACTGTCTTCAAAATTGAGAGATTTTTTGGGTGGAATATAAATTTTAATATGTTATTTAGATAACTTGTTTCTAGGCGTTAAAACGAGAACGTCTTCTTGTTTTAGCAACATTATGGATTGGTCACAGGACAGTCTTCAGCCTGACAGTCTCGCTTAGAAGCCTGGAGAGTTGCCATAATGATGGGACCGTAAATGGTGCTGAAATGTTGTTTACAAAAAATTCGCTTTGACAGAGGAGCTTAATTATCACAATAATTCTGCAAGAATCCATTAAGACGCTTGAGCAATGAATTAAATGTTCCCTCGTCTTTCTGAAGAGTTCGTAAATATATTACACCACTCAGAAAAATTAGGTGTTGACGGGAGGGTAATATTAAAATGGATGTTAAGAGCAAAGAGTGTAAGGGTGTAGACTGATTTAATTTCGCTCGGGATAGGGACTGGTGACGGGCCCCTGTAAACACGATAATGATCATTCGGGTTCCATAAAATGTGCTGAATTGTTGATTAGCTGAGCGACCGTTAGCGTTTCAGAAAGGCGCAGTTTTATGATTTTTTAAATAAACTTCGTGTTTCAGTTTCATTTTACGAAGCATTATACAGAGAACTGCGGATTTAAAAAATATGAATATTATGATTGAATGTTTATGGTTTGCAAAATCTTCATACTCCTTACTGCTTATTTCTTAAACTTAGCATATACATTATGCCTTCTGAAGATGCTAGCTATTTCTACTGCATAACCAATGAAATAATGGGAATCTTTCTTACGTAATAAGTTTAATCTTCAATGACTGTAGATTGTAAAAACGTCAAGATTGTGTGACACAATCTCACCAAGGCTAAGCCAGAACTGAAAAATTTCTGATAGTCAATACACATCGTCTTGTAAGAAAATAATAATTCATGAACCCCTAATCCATTGTGAATTTTTTTTCTAAACTTTCGGTGGGAACCCTTGGAGGTTTGCCAGCTGTCAGCTAATACCCAATATATTTAGTTATTTATCTGATCTGCTCGACCATTGCCATTTTTAGATGTTCTTCGTCTTTAACGCGACATTTATGCCTTTCTATCGCTTACATCCCATTGTTGGAGTCCATTGTGAGCCGAAGGTTGCCATTATTGCGCAGCAATAATACCTCGTGTCTCTTTAGTGCAAGAATTTACGTATGCCGCTCAATGATCTGTGGGATCACATTAACAGAAGAATAGCCTTAGACGCAACATTGACCTTGGGCCACATTAGAGTAGCAACCACCTACTGGATGTGGCGCGAAGATCACATTTGGAATGCCAATTTACTCCAGAGAGCACACTTTTGCATTGTTGTTTATTTAATTCGCAAGTTCGTCTCTGACAATGACTTACTCGTATAAATGGGGTATGTTTCTAGCAACTCTATCTATATCCCGTCTGTACGCAGGAGTTAATAAACGCCTGATTATAAGTAATGAGTGAACTGATAAATATGTCGTAGTTATCTCAGATTTAATTTCAATCACCAAACCCGTTCGATTTACCACATCTCAAATTAAAAGCAGAAAAAAAAACGTAGAAATTTAATTGTAACTCTGCATTCGAATGAAATGCCTACTGTGGCTATCTGAGTTGAGGCGCTTTGTAGTCTTGTATGCTTTGGGAAGAACGAAGGTGAGCATTCATAACCACCTATAAGGCCAACGTCGTCACATCCTAGAAGGTCACAATCTAAAGTAATTGGATGTTTAAGACTTTTAAATAAGTCTATTGAAAAATTTGCTGATGTTTCTAGGTTACAACGTCGTGATGGCGTAATTTAGTAGTTGTAGTTAGAGGTCTTGGCATGTAAACAAGACTTTATATGCTGAGAATTACATTCGAAAACAGGTAGTTCATACAAAAATCTGTAGAATTGAATCGATAACACGGTCTGATGTGTTCTTATCATATTTTCGATGCTTGTGCATAAAGACTTGCTAGCAGAATTTTCAAATCATAGATGCAATTTTAAGATACATTATACTGCTACTATTTTTACCTATTTATTTGTTATGTCAAGACAGACCGCAATCAAAAATGCCATGTATTTATTTGTAAGTTCACATTTTTAAAGCGTTCTTATTAATTTCCCTAATTGTCTCTTCCCCTCCAGTTTTACGAATAAATTTTTCGTGTATTTCTTCTTCTAATTCAAGGATGTAGGCCACAGGCCTCTTTCCGACGTCAGGAGATTGCGTCTTTACATCTTGCTATGGGTCCTCCGATATTGTCCGAAACGTCTCTTGAAGATTGTCAGTAATTAAAATCTCTCCAGGTCGCGTCACTTGCACCACCATAGTGGGTTGCCACCTCACTGTATCCGAATTTGCAGGCTGCATTCTTCGGGATACGAACCCTAGACTTGATGCCTTCCCAGCGGCTGTCGAGTCTCATCTGTCTCTGTCTGTTGTGGGGTTCTCTTAAGTTTTCCCTCTCATCAACCGGCCGACTAGTAAACTAGACTTCCCGAGCATGATCTAGGTCGTTGGGTGCTTATATATTGCATGTGCCAACTACGAGTCTCCACGGTTTGTGTACCCTAATTAATAATTTCAGCGAAAAGCAAAAGCTATGAAAGTAGTTATTATTCTGTATTCTACTATTCTTTTAGGTCCAAATATTCTATTCTCTTTACTCTGATATATTCTTAATCTGTATTTGCTTCTTCTTTAATAGCGTGACTAAGTTCCACACCCATACTGAACATTAAATAAATTAAGTTTTTATATAGGATTAGTTTAATTTAAATCTTAATACTGGTTACATAAGTATTAAAATTAACAAGTAAAATAAACAGAGAATCATAAAATGATGACTACACCAGGATATAAAAGTTTCAAGCACGATATTACTCAGGCGTATATGAGAAACAAAACACTGGCTTTACCTCTGAAGGAGTGCATCACATAAAACTAAGAGTGAACGTTCTGGAAGATTGTTTAAAGTCACACAATATCAGATTCTTGATGTTTGTTTTAATTGTCACTTTCACAAACACTGTTTACCACTTTCTCAGTGTTTTTCGAACTACATGCTTCGGCCACATGCGTGATCATAGAACTCCTAAAAACACCAAGATTTACTTTCATTCTTCGTTTCGTCCAAAATTGGTATAAATTGTTTTATAACATGAATTTTTAAAAAGTTGCATCAAATAAACCATAGAAATGTTAACACATTTTTAAAACATTATGAAGATCTAATGGCACACCTAGAACAGACTTGGCTGTGGAAAGTATTTTGTTTTGTGTTGATGTTGAATGATGTTGATTCGACATCATCACACGAGGAAATGGTGACTGTTTCTAGTTTTTGTATCGGAATTCGGTTGCACAGGTTAAGGAAGATTGTTTCCCTGTCGAGATATGAACTAAGTACCGTAGATCTAGCATAAGATTTTCAAATGTTAGATATAATAACGTATTTTTTTATTTCAGTTTTTTTCTCTTGGAAAAAGGGGGGGTGGATAAAATCCTATCTGTGTGTATTTATGAGCAACGTATGAATTGAGGGTTTTCAAGAAGCTGTTCTTGTCGGAAGGGTTATTCTGTCTAAACCTCTGTCCGACAACGCCTGAGGTTCGAAACATTTGCCATGTTTTCTTTTGTTTCCAGTCCTCAAGACGCATAGTGGCGACCCTTTCGATTCCCTACCAAAAAACTTTTGGTACGAACTTTCGTCCCCTTTCACTGAGTCATATGACGATCTGACCGAGCCGGAGCCAAATACAACGCCGGATCCTTTGCCGTTCTTCGAAGACCATTCTAATTCGACGAATGTAACGACGCAGTTGGGGAGTTCCGTGTTCCTACACTGCAAAGTGCACGACCTGAGGGACAGAACGGTGAGTTCTTAAAATGTTTATATAAAAATTCTCTTCTGTTTTTCTTTGTGTCTTTTTTCATGCCCGCCTTTTAATTAGTATTCTATGTTAGCGCATAATGAGCATGGTTGTTTTCGTATATTTGATGTTTTCAAATATTTCAGTTTCGACTGTTAAGTATAACGTGTGTAATTTTCTTCAAAGTTTGAATCTCACAGATTTTGTCACTGCATTTTCCATGTTTTTTATAGAACAGCTGCGTAAGACTCAAACGTACGTCTTAAATCAGTTGGGTGCTGCTTGTGTTGGTAGTAATAGAAGCACTTGCGCCCAAAAATAAGCATTTTAATCTGTGATACAATCTGTTTATAAATTCTTAATTATATTTTTATATTGTTATTAAATGAAAAGAGAATTATTTGAATTACGTGATTGTGGGAACAAATTAGTAATGTAGGGTCAGACATGAATTTGTCTAAATAGAAGTATAGATAAATAACGAGGATTCAGATTTCTTGTTAGTATTTCCTGGCCATACAAAGAGAAATAAGTGAATTTTGTCCTTTGCAGTCATCTTTTAAGCCATACTCGTATTTTTAAAGTAGTTGTAACATAAATTTATTTATGTTAAGGGAGTAACTAACCTTAACACGAATTAATACTGTCGGCCCGACACATTTTTTAATAGGTTAGACGTGTCGGCACGTAATCTTGTTTAGGATGGAGACTGAAGATGGTTAAGGACTTCCAGTTGTGAACTTTACTGGCTTGCTATTATTATCGCTGAATACTTGTCGTATAAAATATTATTTTCACGGCTCTTAGTTAATTGCTCTTTCGAAACTCCAGACTACTCTTCCAGGAAATCAATTACGAATTTGTGTCAGGATCGTTTTATGGCAGACAAATATAATATCATCAGATATCGAACTCCGAGCCTTCTGAATAATAAATACGTGTGTCATCCACTAAAACTCTAAGCTGGGCAGTGTTACATGATATTTGAATAAACAAGCACGTAGTGAGTTCATGGGATGATGTTAAACAGATTCGTGTTTTGTGTGTACTGTATTTATTGGATTTATGTCAGACGCGCTGGGAACACAGACAGCTCCTGGTGACATTCCTACGTAAACAGACAGGGTTAGACGCAGGTGTGAGAAATATCACAAACGAAGAGAAATGAATCTAGCTTGAGTTGTGGCAATGTGTATATTGTATGTGGGTGGGATGTGGTCAAGCATTGTGGACGAGAAGACTTTAAGTTTGAGTGACCGGTACTACGAGACGTGAAAGAAAAGGCTACCTCATCTGTAATGTTCGGACAGATACTCTTCCGCAGCGCAAATTTCATGTTTTACATTACTTAAAGCAGGACTTTATTTTATCCGTAAAGAAATGCTATGACATCGAGATTTTCGTGTTTTGTGCAAGAACATGGAATCATATTGGTAAAAAGAGATTACTTAGAAATAATAAAATAAAATAAATAGGACGTAAGAAAGAAACCGGGGATTGCGAAATGGAAAAAGAATGAAAGAACATATCGATAGAAAAACAATTAAGGAGAAGGGCAGATAAGAGAAGAAAGAATATAATACGTAATACATTTCACGAGGAGTAGGTATACCACAGAGTAAATGTAGAAGATATAAGAAAATAAAGAAATTTACGAATGACTGGTTATATACAATGCTACAGTACAAAATTGGAAATAACACATTAAATTATGGAACCCTACTCTTCTCATCTCCCCGAGAAAATCGTCAGTAAAGATTACAGAACTAACGTAAACACGAAATGGTGGCAAAGTACAGTTGGCGGAAATACGTTTTTAAAGTAACTCCTAGACTTTTCCATCAACATTGAATGCGATATGACGGTAAAAATAGCATCTGAGAAAATAACGTAGTTTTCTGAACAAACTCATAATTAAAATATGTAAATGGGGAACCTGAAGCGCAAAGTCTAGATAAAAAATTATTATATTGTTTGTTCTGTGATTTTGTCTTATAAGAGGTGATCGTAGAAGACAATTGTATTTGCTTCGGCTTAATAATTTTTTAATAGTAACATTGACATTGGCGCTGATGTTTGAAATGCATTCTCTGTGGTAATTTGTGGTATAAAATATAAACTTTGCTGCTCTGTGTGACCATCCACATTTAAATAATTTAAATATTGTTCATTGTCGCATGTTTAACCTCACAGGCGTTCTAACAAATTATTTGAAATTCCTATAAGGAAAGGGGATTATAATATGCCGAGTCAGAAACATTTTTGAGATGAAAATCCTTTAAATAAATACAAACGAATAATTGAATTTATATGATTTTCCGGGAATCGGTAATTCTGGCAACACCTAAACAATTTGCCTGCTGTCGATACAAATTTTATTGAAGAATCTAACTACGTGTAACAGTTTTGTTTAGTTCTAATACCCGTCTTAACGAAAAACGGGTTAAGTATAAATAAATTTATATAACATTAGGCTGTTTTCCGAATTATTTATGAAGTACTGGTTCAGGAACCTTCAATGAAAATCTAGCAATTGGAACAAAACCACAAACGCGACGAATGTTTGAAATAATGTACTAACGATCAGCTGTTCAGTAAGATACCCTTATTGCTGCTCAATAAAGACAGAGTGTGTTAAATTACACAATAGATGTAGATTGTAACCAGTGCCCTTTCTCGAAACAGGCTCCCTGCTTGACAAATATCAGTTTACCACTAGAGTCTAATTGTTCCAATGTAAATTCTCATATAGGTGTTTATTCTAATATTACCTTCGACATAGGAAAACATACACATTGGCAAATAGCTCTGTGTTTAATTTCCTGTATAATTTTTGTAAGTCCGAGAGATTTCTTTGTGTTGACTACCTTGCGTTATTATTACTATTTTTTTGGTTTGAATGAGTAGCCTGCTCTAATTTTAGAAACTAAGTACGCAAGATTGATATAAATCAAATTTGTAAACAAACTATTGCAGTTTTATCTGTCTCATTTCCCGGTTGTTACATTTCACGGTTGATAATGCAGTGTGCTGTTTTAGTCAATATATTTTTGCCCAGTTGTTGCCAGTTTCTGTTTCTCATGAGCAATGTTTCATTAGTGACATGTTGATGAATTTGTGGGCTGACAGGGGTACTTAATGACTTTACTAGTGACGTGTACAATCTGTCATAATTTGACACCGTAATTTTATACGAGCCTCAGTTAAAGACGGACTTTATGCTTGAAAGAGAATTAACTGGAAAGGATTTTGTATGAGGTTCAAATATTGAGTGCAGCATGTGACAAGCTTCAGTGAACACACAAGTAGGATATTTAAAAGGAAGGTTCCTACAAAGGATATTTATACTTTAGACAAGTAAAGGCAAAATTAGTCGATTTAACTCATTATATTACTTCAAAATATCTCATTCAGTTATAATAAATGAATTATGTTCATATCTAAAAGTACGTCCCTTAATAATCCTTGGATTAGTGAGTTCCGTTTAAAAATACTGTACTGTCTTCTAGCTAGTAATGGCACAATGGTTTAGTTGTAATATACGATATGATATTTCATTTTGAAGTGATTGATCTCAATTTAAAATAGTTGAAGTTATTATGTGTTTCTTCGTTCATTGTGGATACCACTTAATGACTGTTATTTAATTCTTCCTGCTTTACGTATGGGTTCTCCACTTATTATGTAAATGCGCCATGCATAATACAAGAAGTCTTTGATAAAATGGTGGGTTGAGAATAGAGGGTTTAGCTTCTATGTCTTTCTGGTTTATGTTTAGATTAGCCATAAATGCGCGACAGTATTGCTAGGGTAAACCGAGTTGCCAGATTTTATTCTTGTTGAATCTTATGATGGTTTTACTACACGCAGAAAAATGTTAATGCAGGTTATTAAAGATTGAATTAGAAGTTATTATAGAACAGCGTACTTCAGGTGTAGATCAATAGGTAGGTCAGGAGGAATCTGGGACGATTCATAACAAACCGCGCTTACCCTGACTACGCGTAGGTAATTATATTTGCTTTTAATGTAACTACCTGTCCGTTGTCCTTGACTTTGCGAGTGCGAGAAGAATTTAAATGAACTCCTGACGGTGGCCAGTCAGGTAGCAAGAAATGCAAACGAAACGTGGCGGTCTAGTACATTAGGAATTTAACACTTACAAACACAGAATTAGCAGAGAGATATTTTTGGTTAACTGTGGGTTTATACCCTTACATTTAGAGTAATAGACGTTAGAAATACTGTAATATCCCACGCAAATATGAATTGATTTTATCTACTTTAAATTTTAGAACACTTTATTCCAGACGACGACATCTCGATGCGTTATTTCTTGTTAATGTGTTAAAGGGCAAAATAAATTGCCATTCCATTATGGACGCCGTTGGTTTACGTGTGCCGGCGAGGCAAATAAGAGAACTTTCTACTTTTAGTGTGAGCAGTGCGATAAAACATTCCTTCAACCAGGTGCATCATCGCTGCAAATGACGTATGTAAATCTTTGGACGTATTTAGCACAAACGTTGCCCCCCTTGAGGGCACGTTCTCAATAAGGGAAATGATCTAGATAGGTTATATTTTTTTGTATTTCTTTATATTAGCGTTTCCCTAGGTGGATTATTTGTTTTTATTTATATTTCTTCGTTTATTTTTTTGTGTATAATATTGTTTCTGTTTTGGGCTTGTCTGTATTTGGCTGTTATATTTAATACTGTATATGTATAAGTTTAGTTAATCTGCTTGTGTAATATTTTTTATTATTATTTCGATATTATTGTATGTATTATCAGTGTTTGCCTGTTATTGACTTCTTGCTGTTGGCAAACACTTAAATAAATGAATTGAATTGAATTACTGTTTCTAATTGGATTTAATCAAGACATGTATTTCCCATTGCTACAATGTCAGTGCTGAGCGTAAATCTGTCTCTCTAAAGCACGAACGTTGACTGGCGGCGATTAACGACGGAGTTCAGATACAAAAAGGAATATGTAGTCCTA